CTGTTGAAACAAAAGGCAGGAAGTGTTTGAAGAAATTCAGGTTCAGTCGTCTAGGTTTATGATTAATCTGGTCCCGTGGCCTTTGGTTACTCCTATAGCCCCTCTTTCACGGGGGGTTTTTCCCTCCAGGTGAAAAACTGATACATAAATGATGTCATTGATTGTTTTTACAAATCCAGTATCACCTACCCAAATTTAGGGGATGAAAAGTCAGAGCACGTTTTAAGTCTCAGAAATGAGGACACATGAAAACATAGTTAACTCCAGCTATTGTCTTGCGTGTGTAACCCCCACACAGTGTCTCTCTATAGTGTGCTCATAAAGGCTTTGTCAAGATGACCTTCATTTCAGCAGGTGCAGAATATTGAAGATTTTGGCCTAATGTGAACGCCATTGAATCCCCAGTAATCATCCATTGCTAGCACTTCCATATATTAAAATTTGCCATATTTTTAGGTGGTTTCTTCTGCTTTCAGCCCCCAGTCCATCTTACTACTGCTACCTAGAGCTAAAGCTAACAGCAGTGAGATGCAAGGAGCTGGAATCGCAGAGGGTGATTAGAAAGGCTGTCTTTTACCTTCCTGATTAAACTTTCTAAAAGTAGACTTCCTGAAGGTAATTACTTTTGAATAGTTAGGTTCCAAGTTTTCAGAGCCACTCTCAGTGATTGTTTCCAGATCGCCAATAAAAAGGCACAAAGAAGAAACTGTGGAGGGTCTGTCTCCCCAGCAAACACACAGTGTCTGCTCTAGGAGGGCCCCCAGCAATAGCAGCAGGAAAAAAACTAAAGGCAGAACAGGAAATCCCAAAAAGATAGATCTTATTACATGAGCAGAGAACAGAAAATAAACTAAGGTAAGAGACTCAGGAAGCCAAAGTAGTGGTGATTGCCAGGGCCTTAATGAGCAGAGAGGAAAAAGCAAATCATGCAAGACCAGTTTGATACAGGTTTGGGTCTTGGAAATTTTCAACACTTATTTGGTCATAGTAGATGAAGAAAAGCATTGTATGTCTAATCTGTCTCATTAATTTATAAATTCTTGGAGCAGGTAGTAGTGTGTCTGTGTGGTCTCTGTATCTCTCACAGTGCCTGGTATATAGTTTGACTTAATGAGTATTAAACTTAGTTTGAAGCTATCAGCTTAGGGTAGTCTAGAAAGGTCATGTACTGATAAGATATGACACATCTTGTTAGTATAAACAATCCACTTTTTGTCTTGATTGAACTTTATTTTCCTTATCTGATGTCTTATGAAACTCCAGTATCTTAACTCTCAAATACTGAGTTTCCTATAAGAAACTAGCTGCTGGTTAGATATATAATTTTGCTGTGATGAAATCTGAACCAGAAATATTAATGTCCTCAGTGCTAGTCCTTTTAGGATTTGATTTCTCTAAGAATCTGACCCCAAAGGAATGAAGGGAATGTAGGGGAACACACTAGGAACTGATGGCTGATTTATATTTAAGAATGGTTTCTGAGTATTTGGTTTCTACAACTTACTGACCTACTTTGGAATTTTTTTTTAATGGTTTTTTAGTTGATCTTATGCTTTTCTGAACTGGCACTAAGTAAGGGAACAGGGGCACAAACAATATTGGGGTCCCTGAATGGAGTCATCAGACGGATCATGGTGCCTAAAGCGCTCAAGTCCTCAGTGGGTTTGTATTTTGGCAGACTGTTTGCAGAGCTACCAGGGAACTAGCAGAACAGGACTGGAATTCTTGCCTTGTCTGAGTGGAACAGAACGGTGTTCCTAAGGGTTGCCATTGAAATGGTGTTGGTGGCATGAGATAAGAAGCAGAGATTTCTTTCCGTTGGAAATTGGTCCAGTCTGTTGGGTGACCCTAGGAATGGCTTGTTAGCCTATTTCTAAAGGCCTTTTTTTTTTTTCTTTTCCTGAATGTTTGCTGCCAACAGCTTCTGTGAGATTTAAGGGCTTTTCAATGGTAATTTTGATTAAAAGTGATTTTTGCCTTTTGAAGACAACTCCCCCGGGGCCCCCAAAGTAAGGAGCAATCATTAGAACAACCAAAAGGTGTGAGAAGAAACCACATGGAGGAGATGGGAGTGGAGGTGGGGGAGGAAACCAGGACTGCAAGGAGGCATGGATGTCAAGAATGCGGTAGATGCTTCCTCCCTGCCAAGTGCTTCCCAACTGCATTTCAGGTACAAAGCCAAAGCTTCCAATGTAAATGTGTCCTTTGCTGCTAAAGGAATCCTCTCTGGCTTCTGGAACCACTAAGAACGTAATCCTTAATTGTTACTATCGTTACTGAGTTTAAAGACTATAATCCTTAATTGTTATGGAGTTCAATAGAAACCAGAAAGACAGAGCACAGGATGAGGGGATTTACGGCAAAAAAGACTCCTGACCCTGAACCTGAGAGCATCTGCTTAGACTGAGCCTTTGTGGAAAGCGGCTGGGGAAGGCTCAGCCAGGTGTCTCTGGGCCTGCTCTCCTTAGGAGGTGAGAGCCAGGAGGAGGAAAAGAGGGAATGGGGTAAGAAATGGGGATGAATTTTCTCAACAAGATTTAAGAACTATCTATATTAGCGGTCGCCAACCGGTGGTGCACGGACCACTGGTGGTCTGTGAAGTCCGAAAGATTGGTGACTGCTGATCTATATATATAAAAGACTAATATGCTAAGTGTCTGTCTGACTGGTAGCTATGATGTGCACTGACCATCAAGGGGGCAGGTACTCAACACAGGAGCTGCCGAGCTGCAGTGACTTGTCAGCAGAGTTCTCAGGCGATGCACGCAGAAACCAGAGAGGAGGGAGCCCGATTCCTCGTGGAGCTGTGCAATTCCACCTTTGGCCATGGGTTATGTTGTTGCTGGGGCACTGTCAGTCTGAATCTGGTTTACTGCATGCTTGCATTTGCATTCCACACCCTGGACAACAGCAGTTTTACAGAGTGCCCTATCGCACTCTGGGACCCCTCGGGGGACGTCAAAAAGCCTGTTTCTGCCCAATGCCCTCAGGCCAGGCTGAGGGATCCCACCTGCTGGTGGGACCCCCGCTCACTCCGCAGACACCCTTGGGGCCACGGCGCCACCCCAGGTGCAGCCAGCCGGGGAGGGACCAAAGGAGGTTGGCTCCAGGGCGTGTTCGGCCCGTCTTGCCCAGACCCGCCCCACCAGCCACCTTCTAATTAATTTCTTTTCAATGTGCACGAATCCATGCACCAGGTCACTAGTAAGTTATAGAGGAGAGAGAAAAGACAGTAACTGACAAGTTAAGTTGTAGGGAAAAGAGAAGCACTAAGTGGTTTAGTGGTGGGAAGGGGGCCTTCTTGGTTTCTGCTTAGTCCTTTCTGTTGCAGCAGGTCATAGAGGAGTGAGAACAGAACCAGTCTGGTTCTTAACTGGTTTAATATTTGAGGGCACAAAAATGATCTGGTCTGTTTGGACATTGGCTTCTTCCTGTCCCTTCTGTTCTTAAGTGGAAGGCACAGACCTTTTCTGAAAAGGTTCTACCCCTAAAGACTTCTCCATTTCTAAACCTTACCCTTCACCACACTGACTCTTAACACATTCCTCTTGGGATCTGCCTACTTCTCATTCAGCATGTCTCACACCACAGTCATCATTTCCCCGCTAAAACCAGTTCCTTTTCTAACATCCCTGTTCTTGCTAATGGCATCATCATTTAGTCACCCAGTCTTCAAACCTCAGCTGACCTGGGATCATTTCCCCTCTTGCCTCCTTAAATGGAGCCAGAATCCAGTTCCTGTAAATTCTTTATAAAGTCTCTTGCATCAGTCCTTCTTACTGCCACCGTCTTAATTCTCTCATTTTTGCCTCAGCTCTCTCCTGGGAAAGTTTTCTCCCAACTGCCCCTTCTGCTTCCAGTTCGCCTTCAATCCGCTGTGGGCTGCAAGCTTTAACGTTCCTAAAACTGCTTTCGTTATGATAGTCACCTGGTTAAACATGTTGAGTCGCATCTCATTTCCTAAAAGATAGTCCAATTTCGATGGCTGTCATCCAAGGTACCTTCCCGTACATTTCTTTCCAGCCCGCATTTTTTGAGCACCCCCTCGAACCAGAGGCTGCTCGGTGCTAAGTGTAATCAAGTTGAATGCGACAGTGTTTGTCTAGAAGAGCAGTCACGTGAGACAGAAGGCAGATATGTAAACAGATGAGTTGATAGAACAGAATGTGATAACTGCTCCTGGGTTATGAATATACATACATACCTATTATGTATGTGCATATAGATATGGACCTAAGCATTTGACATAATGTAAAAAAATAGCGGTGATATTTTTAGAAAACCCATTTCTCGGCCATTACAAGTTAAAATTGTGACGATTAAAAGCCATAAAAATTCAGTGAAGCAAAGGCGTGCTTTGCACCTATCTGCCAAAGTCACAGAAAGCCAGTCTTTCTCAGCTGTGTGCAGATTCTTCCGGCGGAGCAGTGTCCTGCGTGTTCCCAAGCCTCCTTCCCAGGAACCGGCCAGGCCTTCTCTTTCCTGTAGCTGTTAAATCAGAAGGAGTCCATTTCTTTTTATTTCTAAATTCGACACATGAATGACAGTAAATGAGGACGCATTGGAAAAAGAAAAACCTTATTATCTTTGGAGATGAAGCCCAGTATATGCTCTCCAGGGATGAGAAATGAGAAAACTGACCAGTCACTAACTCATGTAAACCATTTAGTATCCTGCTAGAGTATGAATTGTTATCCCCATTTTATAGACGAAGACCTTAGAGCTCAGAGGTTAAGTGGATCAAGGAACCACAAAGTGGCTGAGCAGGGATGCAAACCTAGGTCTGTCCGACACCAAAGTCCATGCACTTTCCACCGCAACACTGCCTCCCAGGAGAATTATTGTCCCCAAAGAACCTTGGAGCAAAAACAATCGCTGGGTCTGTTGTGGGTAATTTTCAACTGATACCAAATTGTTAACCTTTTTTTAAAATCAGTGACCTGGTTTAGAAGACAAAATTTAAAAAGCAAAACAGCATCATCAGTTATATTTCTGTTAGAGGCTTTTGTGAAGTTTTTTGGCAGTTCAGGAAGAGTCAGGTTAGGGGCACAGCCATAACACAGATACCTTGATTGTCCGTGGTTTGCCCTCCATGCCATATACTCTGTTTCTTCCGATTTGGAATCCTGCTGGAGTCAATAACTTCATCCTGCAATAACTGTTGAAGGGTTTTTATATTCCAGGCTGTCTCTTGAATTGTGGCCCATGAATAATTTTACTGGAAATAAAATTAATCTACATGTTATTGTTCTCTCCTTGTGGTACTTTACAAATCATCATGGCATTATATCAGAAAAGCAAAACTTTAGGAGAATGATGGACAGATAGTTGACATAGACTGATATATTTCAATGAAATCACATTGTAATTTTATTTAAACTAAATAAAGCCAACTAACAAGTATACTTGAAATGGTTCATATTTCTGGTAATTTTCTGATGTTAAAAAACATATCTTTTTTATTTTAATGAAAAAATGTATTAACATAAAAATTACTATTTACTTTCATTAACATACATTCCAGTAGCTTACCTAATGTAGTTCTTCTGGTTTGGTCTTGTCTCACTCAGGTGAGAATACTTGAAAGGGTGTAAACAGATATCCAGGTAGACAGACCTGTTTTTAATAGCGTCGTGCTAAATGTCCTCATTTTGGGGGAAAGATGTTTGAATGTTTGTTTATGGGCATGAGGCCACTTCCTCCTTTTCTTCAATGTACATATAAATCCTGTTGGCAACATAGGACAGTGAAAGAAACAGATGCACACACATAGCAGGAGAGAGAGACATCACACCCACACAGGGCTACACCAGAGATGTGCGAGTCTTAAAACAGCTAAACAATCAAAACCCTGATATCCATCATGGTGTCCCAGAAAGTGGGTTAGACTACATCTTAAAAAGACATGTTAACCTAGTTTTACTATTTAACTGTAATCTCCAGAAAAGTAATTTAACTCTGGCCTCGGTTTTCACCTGTGAATAGACAGTGCTGAATTCAATTCTTTCTGAGGCCCTTCCAGCTTTGTGAATCGCATGTGGGCCCAGGTTTTTCCTCCACGCCCTTCCTGAAGGCTGATAAAATGAGCAGATCAGATGTGAACAGTGGTTACCAAGTAGCAGGGGTTAGTAAGGAAGCCTCTGGAATCAAATTACCGAGGTTCCAATCCCATTTCCATCCTTTACCAGATGTGAAACGCTAAGCAAGTTAGTTAGCCTTCATGCCTTAGGTTTCCCATCTGTAAAATGGGGGTGATGAAGAAGAATTCCTTGGTGAGTTACAGCATTTCTCTCCTAAGGTGGTTGTGAGGATTGAGTTGATACATGTCAAGTACTTAGAACACTGCCTAGAATACGTTAACGTTTATTAGCTCAATAACTGTTTATATTTTTCATTATTACTATTACTGCTTAAATTCTTAGAAAACTGTGCTATAAAACTCTGAGGTGGTGGTGATTAATGTTGATAAGCTCAATTATATCATTAGTAATTCCTATGCTAAGCATCAATCCAGAAAAGCTGGTATCCTAGAATCTGCTTTGAGAGAACAGTACTGTGTATTTGAACAGACTACTGAGAGTATTTTCAATGTTAACCTTACAGAGTATTGGCCTCATCACAGAACTGGTTTCTGGAGGCCTGACTAACACTATCTGTAGTGTGGGTGCAAAAAGCAGACTGATAAGACAAAGCAAGGCATTCTGAAAAATCTGCTATGGTACTCTCATGGTAGGGGGAAGGGTGGGATCGAGTTGCTCTAGTCGTCTTTAAAAGTTGTAAATGATTAGCATGCTGTATTATTAATTTTCTAGGGCTGCCTTAGCCAAGTACCACAGACGGGGTGGCTTAAACAACAGAAATTAATTATCTCATACCTGAGACTGGAAGTCCAGAAGCAACCTGTCAGCACGATTGGGTGCTTCCGAGGTTTCTCTCTTTGGCTTGTGGATAGCTGTGTTCTTTCTGTCTTCACATGTTCTTTCCTTGTCTCATGTTTGTATCCACATTTTCTCATAAAGACACCAGTCATATTAGGGCCACCCTAATGACCTCATTTTAACCCAACTAACTCTTTCCAGACCCTGTCTCCCCATGCAGTCACATCCTGAGGTCCTGGGGATTAGGACTGCAACATAGGAATTTGGGGGAGGGAGGACACAGTTCAGCCCATAACGTATGTTATAACATGTAGACACATAAAGACCCAAATAGTCCAGTCATGTATTTTACTTTCAACTGAAAGAAGATTAATTTGACACTTGTAGTAAAAGCTTGCATTGCTTAGTATTGTAGAATTCAGTAAAACGCGATTCGCTTTTTTACAGTGGTTTTAGAACCTTTGTAAATAATAATAGCAAAAACAGCTCCTTTAGTAAATGCACAGAAGACCTGCTTTCTTGATCAGAGAATTAATTTTTGCTAGTACTTTGACACGTTTTTGTCCCCGGGCTCACCTTAAAATGCCAAAAGTGGAATGAGAGGTACAGTTTGGAATGTTGTCATTCTTTTACCCGCAAATACATAAATAACCCTTCTGAAAAACTGGAAAGCCAGAGGGTGGGGAAACTTACATCTTTTGAGATCGTCAAGAGAACATGTCAACACCTTCTATCTCCAGATGGTATGTTGTTTTGGATTCATTCTTTAAAATAGCAGTGCATTTTTGTCCATATTTAGATTTAATATTTATAAATGTGACTGGTTTTATTTTTTAAAATTTCATATAGCCCTGGCCAGTGTGGCTCAGTTGATGGAGCATCATCCTGTGCACTGAAAGATTGCCAGTTAATTCCTAGTGAGAGCACATGCTCAGGTTGTAGCTTTGATCCTGGTTGGTGTGCGTGCAGGAGGTAACGAATCAATGTCTCTCTCTCTCTCTCCCTCCCTCTCACTTCCTCTCTCAAATCAATAAAAAGAAAATTTTTTAATTCATATATCCTAGATTTCTAAGGAAGCACAGTATCCAGTGGAAAGCTGTCAGAAACACCTGTTTTGTATGTTAGTGTTGGCTCTTTGAATTTTAAGAATTAACTGGCCTCGGACATTTCGGTTTTGCGTCTATGTGTATGAAAGAGTCTTTACTTTTAGTATCTTATCACTGATACTGAAAACTTACTGAATGGCTTGAATATCAGTCAGTTGTAGCTCAAGTATAAATTTCTAAAATTTGATGTCTGAGCATATTAATAAAGAAGTGATTTTTATCCAGTTTTGCAAGAGTGATCTGGGTAAAACAACTGATTTGTTTTTATACTGGCCAAGTTGATTCTATTTTTTTTTCTTAAGGTATTTCTAAGATTTATTGAAAAATATTATTTTTCCTCTTTCATGTTTCATGTTACCCTCCACTTAGAAATAAATAAAGCCTTTAGTAGTTCCACGTGAAAACATACACACACCCAGATACCAGATAGACAAACATCTTACTTGTACTCCACCCTGCCCTGCCCACTGCTTGCATAGCTATAGAAGCTGTTTGGGGTGTTTCTTTTTCTGCCACCCAATCTCTCTGTGGTAAAAAGGTAACAAAGCCTGCTGTCCCAGCCAATTAATTCAGAGTTCCAGAGCAAAAGCTGGGACTTCCTCAAGAAAAAGGCACAACCAGAACCAGAATGAGTGGAGCCTTGGTGTCATCCAGAAAGGGGACAGGGTCAGAACCAAGTGAACAGAGCCCAAGCCACAGCATGCTTCCATGGCAAGGTTCCGAGGGCTTTGGGGGGCTTTCTCCATACCCTTACTCTGTGACTGTGGGCACATGAACATTGGTATAGAAGAGACATGCTCTCGGTTGTTGGCCCTGACGTGGTGGGAAGTAAGCAACATGTGAATAGACCAAATGTTTGAAATCACATATTGATAACAAAAATGCTTCATACTTAGCCCATAAATAGGCTTATTTTCCAGAGTATTAAAATAGATATAACTTTGTCTTTTTTATTATATATTTACATATATTTTTAATTGGGAAAACTATGAAGCTTAAAATAGCTACAGCTAGCTGTGTCCCAGTGTATAATAATGTATCCAGACAACTTGTCCACAAGTGGTCTTTATTTCATATTTATCGACTGGAGCATTCCTTAGACAGAAATATCTGTGGCTAAACTTGAAGGAAAGGGAAAGTTTGGTCTCGGATTCTAATGGAAGGAATGAACTGAGTGAGCATCTGGTTGAAATGATCTTGTCTTTCAAAGTTGCTTAATGGATGATGACAGTGACAAGTAACAGCTCATTTAGAAAAACGAGTACGGAATGAGTCTGTACACTGCAACACAGCGTGCCAAAAATCTGGCTCGTATTTCTGATAATGACTGCGGAGTTAGAAATGGCCTTTTTCTGAAAATCCAGGGCCACATAATTTATATATTGGGCAGAAATTTGGGGTGGGGCTTATTTAGTGGTTTGCCTGTATGATGGCTCTATACTCTTGTTACTGACTGCACAACAAACACACTTCTCTCCTAAATGGAGAGACCCATAATTAGGTTAACGGCTGATTCTTGGTTAAAGACACAAGCATTTATTGCTGCGTTATTCCTCTTTCAACATTGTCCCTATTTGACTGTCACGTTTTGGCAACTCACATAGGCCTTCAGGCCTGGTTCCTAAAAATACAAGACCGAAATTATGTTTTATCAAGTAAAATTTTAAACCTGTTGTTTTTTTAAGTCTGCTGGGTCTAATTCACTGTTAGGACAGTAAAACACATTTTGTATATAATTTGACATTTAATATTTGAAAATAAATGGGGAGAAGTAGAAGCTTGGGATGAGTGATCTGCCTTACAAAGCCCAGATGGTGACAGGTTGGTTTATTTGTTTTTTGACTGGCAGGAGGTGAGGGGATGAGAATTCTCCTCTCACGGATTTGGCAATTTGAAAAATTCGGTTATATTTATTTTTCTTTGTCCATTGTGCCTAAGTCAGGGTGACTCAAGCAAATAGGCTTTTGTCCGTTCAGGGAAAGAAAGTCACTCTCTTCTAGAGACTTGCATAAGTTAGTCCTTGACATGGCAATGGACACCTTAAAGTAGAAAAGGTTCTGAAAGCCCTCCCCTTCCCTAATTGTAATAAGGGAAGCGGACCCCTGCTGTATTACTCAGCTTCAACTTGAAGAAGTGGCTATTTTCCTCTTTGTTTGAATCAACCTACAGCTGTCAGGCCTCATCATCCTAATGACACAGTTGACATTCATGAGATTTAGACATGGTTTATAGTGTGGTCACATCGGCAATAAATTTCTTATTCTCTTGCAGCATTGGACACTTTTTCACCATGTTGACGGCATTTTAAATATATTTGTCAATTTCCCCAAATTTTAACTGAAGAAAACTTTCAGAGTTTCTACTTGAGGACTGAAGTGTGACTGCCAATTATCAGGTCAGTATCACCCCATCCTACCCCACCCCCACCCCCATCCTCAGCAATATCCCTGCCATCAAAAACATGAGGCAGTTTTACTAGCTTCCATTTATATTTCATGCAAAAATGTATTGCAGTATCTTGTGTATTGAGATTATGTTCAAATGAATAGAAAAGCAAAGAACTGCTAATTTTTAATATTTATAAAGAAAGGTTATGCCCTAACTGGTTTGGCTCAGTGGATAGAGCGTTGGCCTACGGACTGAAGGGTCCCGGGTTGGATTCCAGTCAAGGGCACATGCCCAGGTTGTGGGCTCGATCCCCAGTGGGGGGCATGCAGGAGGCAGCCAATCAATGATTCTCTCT